TTTTTTTTTTTTTTTTTTTTGGAGTCAGGGTCTTACTATGTAGTTGAGAATGACCTGGGATTCACTATGTAGCCCAGGCTGGTCTTGAACTCACAGGGATCCTCCTGCCTCAGCCTCCCCAGTGCTGGAATTAGAGGTGTGTGCCACCGCACCCAGCTAGCAATCTATTTTAATGAATTTAAATTTCATTCCCTCCTCTTTTTTCTTCATTTGATTATTTTGTCAACAAAAGACAAAAGGTAAGGCTTGAGTAGTTCCCTTAACCCTAGTACACACCATATACCAGAGCAGGGAGGTGAGAGGGTGTGGAACTTTACATGTCTTTCTTTTCTCATAGCTTTAAGACAAAGCAGGAGTCAATTCTGACCCTGCACTGCACAGCAAAAAAAGCGAGAAGCATGGCACTGCCGTTCCGGAAGGACCTGGAGAAGTACAAGGACCTGGATGAGGATGAGTTGCTCGGGAACCTGTCTGAGCTGGAGCTAAAGCAGCTGGAGACGGTTCTGGATGACCTGGATCCTGAGGTAGGCGCGCAGAGCTGCCATGTGCAGTGGGCTGCTTCAGCGCCTCCCCACAGCAGCTGGCTTTGTGCATCCCTGAGTCCCAGCCCCTGCCTGCGGACTGAGCCGAGCTGCCTTCCCCACCACCCTCCTCCCCAGACGTCTCCTCTAAGGATGCTCCTGGTCACAAGTAGCAGACTCCTGCCCCTCCTGCCCTCCATGCGCACCATCTCTGTGTCCAGCTGTGTGGCGCGGCTCTGCACTCACGGCCTTATGCCTCAGTGTGTTCTGCTGAGAGGTGCTGAGTATCCGGTCGGTTCCTGCCATGGCACAGACCCGCACACGGTGCCGTCCTGTCCCTGTCCCTGTCCCTGGCAGACCCAGCACACCAGCACTGCAGGGAGCCCAGCTGCCTTCCGTGTGCTGTGAACAAAACAGGAGTCTGTGGTGGGGCAGTGACGTCACCCATGCCTCTGTGTGGTGGGTGGAGGGTGTTCGTGCGTCTGTCCGGCACTTTTGTCCTGGGCAAAAGTGAAGAACAGTGCTGTGTGGGTGTGCACTTGCACCATTGTGAGTCCTGGGCGGCTGCATATGCCTGTGCACTTTAGATTTGAAAGTGGCTGTTGTCTGTCCCATAACTTACATCGGCCCAGGTAGAATCTCAATCCTTGCGTTGTCAGCTGAGTGAGTGTTCAAGGAGGTGCTGCTAGTTGCCTTTAGCACCCCACACACACACACCCGCCTCTGTGGGCAACACTTACTCAGGTGCCCTTCAGGGAGTTGTGTTCGTGTTTTGTTTTCTTTGGGTGCTGAAAATTAAACACAGGGTGAAAGCTATTTGAGGCTTTCCCATGCCTTGAGAATATATTACTACAACAGAGTTCCACTTCAGGGGAGAAACATGAATTGTGTGGTTTTTTCCTTCCCCTTTTGGTTTGTGGTACTGGAGATTGGTTGAACCCAGGAGCTTCACTCTGAACTGTATTCTCAGCACTTTAAGTCAAAGTCTTGCTGACTTGTCCAGGCTGAGGTCCAGCTTGGGAACCTCCTGTCTCGGCCTTTCCAGGTGCTGGACTACAAGCATGTTCTACTACTTGCATGTGCACGCGCGTGCGTGTGTGTGTGTGTGTGTGTGTGTGTGTGTGTGTGGTTTTTTGAGCCAAGGTCTCTTTAAGCAGTCCAAGTTGCCCTCAAACTCACTATGTGGCCAAGACTGGCTTATCCAAAGTACTGGGATGAGAGGCCCATCCCACCATGCCCAATTAAAATTTACTTTGGTTGGGGGCTTGTTTGCTTTTAGTGACAGGGTCTTGCTAGGTAGCCCAGGCTGGCCTCCAGTTTACTATGTAGCCCTAGTTGGCTTTGAACTCATGGCGATCCTTCTGCCCCAGCCTCCCCAGTGCTGGAATTACAGGCCCAGCACCAATAGAATATACCTTCTATGAAGCTTGGTTCATGGGTTTTATAGGCTCTAAAACCAGTCAGCTGGCATTTATTTTTATGGTAAAACACTATATTGAAGGGCCCAGGATTTCTGCTCTTTTTTGTGTGTTTGGGATGGGGGCAGCATTGGGCATTGAACCCAGGGCCTTCACACTGAACTACATCTCTAGCTCTTTTAATTTTTAATTTTACAGTGGACTCTCAAGTTACAGCCAGCCTGACATACAAACAACTTGGGTTACAACTGGAATTCTAGTTTTAACTTACAACCAAAGTCTTGAGTAATGACCCAAATGCCACTTGTGCTTCCAGATGGTCTCAGATACAGACTTAACCCTTACAGAGCTCTGGAAGGAACATGACTCATTCCTTCCTATGAGGGGTTCCCTGGGAAATCCTGGGCCAGTGTCTCTCTAAAGACACAGGTCTGCCTATGTGCAGGAGAGAGACTTGAAAGTCGTGTAGAGGAGCCTGAGCCTTCAGTTGACTGACTTGAGTTACAACCAGCCCTTAGGAATGAAATGACTTCACAAGTCAAAGGTCAATTGTAATTTTTTCTTTTCTTTTGAGACAAGTTCTTGCTAAGTTGCCCAGGCTGGGCTGGAATTGGGATCCTCCTGCCTTAGGCTCCCAGAGTGCTGGGATTCTAAGCAAGCACCACCACGCCCTGCTTGCATAACAGATCTTGAAGCTGTTATTTCACATGGGCTTGAGCAGGCGAGTGGAATAGTGCAGCTCCATCCTCAGCACCGTGAAGCAGTGCACGTGTGCATGCTTTATGGACGGAGAAGGGAAATCCCTGCTTATTAGTTTGTCTCAGTGAGCATTTTTATTCAGCAGTATCCTGGATTCTCTTGAGTGAGTGTTTGGGGGCCACCTGTAGATCCCAGGTGCTATGCTGGGCATAGGACACGAGTGAGCAAGTTAGATGTGACCCTTCCCCCTGATGCAGGCATGTTGACTTTGATCAGATGTTCACACCAGATCAGAAAGATGGAGGGGGGGACTGAGAGTCCCAGAAAAGCCTCCCTGGAGGAGTGGAGCTGCAGTCTAAGGAGCAGAAGAGGTGGGCGGAGCCTGTAAGGGGAGAGGCTGCACTTGTGAAGGCCTTGGTACAGAACTAACTGCAGGGCAAGTCCCAAGTCCAAAAGAGGGAGTGTAGGGTGTGGAGGTCAGAGTGATCATCGAACCCTTTGTGGGGATGCCGGGGATGCTTGGGCCAGAGGCTGGACGAGGTAGTAGTAGGGTTGAAGATGGCAAAGCAGTGCCCACGCTCCACCGGAAGTCAAAGTGGAGAGGACCTTTAGGCTGAGTGGGAGTGGATGTGGCTCTTACCGTGACTTCAGCCTGGGGCAGACATCTTCGGTTTCTTTTTTATGGTCCCAGAGGTGCTGAGTTTGGATTAGGAGACACTTGGTGCAGGGTTAGGGACAGACCTGTGCGGTTCATCCCGAGAGGTCAGCTTGCTGTGTGATGAGTGCCATTTGTTGAAGAGGACACAGAAGTAAACTTGATGAGAATTATTAGGGATATACACAAATGGCCAAATTTGAAGTGCTGTCATTTCTACTTAAAAAATGAACATTTCCGGTTGCCTTTCACCATATGCAGTCACCCCTCGTATTGAAAATCTTCTTGTTCCACCTTGGGGTTCAGCATCACTGCCAGTATTGGGAGGTGGCAAAAGAGGGCCTTATTGTGTCTTAGGGTGCTGTGGGGCGTGAACGGCAATGACAGTAATTGTTGCATGTGCATCCTACGACTCACAGATGTGCATGAACAGATGTGCAACACAAAAGCTGGAGCTTCGGTACTGTGGTGGACAGGTCAAGGTTAACCTGGCATTCTTAGCTGTATGTCTGTCATGAGAGTCTGTGTGATTAAATGGCAGTTACTACCGAGGACTACATACAGTAATTTAAAATTGGTGATAGAATTATTATCCATATGTATATGCTGCACAGTTATTAACCATTAAGAAAAATTTTTATTATAATCCTTGAATGTTTAAAAATTAAAGAATTCTTTTTCTGCTGGTAGCATTTTTTTCTGAAGAAAATATATAAGTGCCCATTTCAATAATAATGTAAATGAATTCTGCCACATTTCTAAAGAACTGTGATTGGAGCCCCTTTCCATCACGGCCGTAAGGTCCCATGCTACGGTAGCCATTGCCTGTCCACTGTGGTCTAGAATCTTCTGCAGGGTAGCTCTGTGGAAGCGCAGAGTGTCGCCTGCCTTCTCAGTGGTCGTAATGGCTGATTCATTCTCTGGCAGAACGCCCTTCTGCCTGCAGGGTTCCGGCAGAAGAACCAGACGGCCAAGGCTGCCACCGGGCCATTTGACAGAGACCACCTCCTCTCATACCTGGAGAAGGAGGCGCTGGAGCATAAGGACAGGGAGGACTACGTGCCCTACACCGGGGAGAAGAAAGGTGAGCTCGGGACTCTGAGATTAGGTGGTTTCCCTTTGTATAAGACAGGCATGGAGAAAATCCTGTGTGGAGAGGTGCATCATGGCAGCCTTTGAAGATAAAATACTGTTTACGTAGAAATGTGTTAGGTGGGCCAGGGATTTAGCTCAGTGGCATTGCGCCTGCCTCGCAAGCACAAGGTCCTGAGTTCGATCCCCAGAACTGAAGGAAAAAAAAGAGAAATGTATTAGGTGGCCTAGACACTTTACTTGTCTTTTTATCAATTTGGACAATAGTTTTTTTCTTTTTCCTTTTTGGTACTGGAGATTGAACTCAGGACCCTGCGCTTGTGATGCAGGTGCAATGCCACTGAGCTAAATCCCTGGCCCCAGTAGTTTTTTCTTAATGATTTATTAATATGGTTTTATTGCCCAGTGGTTTTGTGTAATACCCTCTAATTCTTTGCTGGAAAAGTGCTGAAGTAAGTTAAGTGCACTAGTGTATTACAGAGGATAAATGAAGCTGAGTTCTAACTCCTTTCTTTTTTGGTAGTGGGAATCAAACTCGGGCCCTTTGAACCATTGCAAGGACCCAGCATTCACACGCTAAACTGTAGCACGCTCCAAAATAATGGATCCCTTACTCTATTTTTCCTTTTTATGTGGTCTTTCTAGCTCATGAGTATACATAAATTCACTACACATTTATTGAATACAGAGCATTTATTGGTGGCCATATTGAGCAGGTGTCATGTGTATCATAGGTAAAACAAAAACCCAAAAACCCAGGCTGCCTTCTGACAGCCTGGCCCTCCTCTAGTGCCCTAGTGTGTGCTTCTGTCAGAAGGTATGTGCCACAGCCCCTGGAGGCAACAGTGACACAGTGATGGTTACCTGGAATCGCTTCTGTACAAGGCAGCCTGCAAACAGTAACATTAGTTGTAGGAATGAAATAAATGAGGGCCATCTCTGTTTCTTGGTGATTTTTAATTTTATGTTTAGCAGGGATAGATCTGTGACTAAGAAATCTTAACAGTCTCTGTTAACAGTCGCTGTAACTTGCCATGGAGCAGATCGCTTGAAGTGGGGGCCTTGGCAGCGGTTGTTAACGTGGTGGGTCTCTTCCTTGATCTATTACAGTCACAAAGGCGTTAGTAGGATTTCCCACCCTGCTTGGTGTAAACATGGGTTTGGGTAAGTGCCATACATTGAACTTAGCCCTGTGTTCTTATCTTGGTTTGTTGTGTTTCCTTAGCTGCTGTTTTGTAATTGCAGAATCATTACTGAACAAGTTGACATCAGTCCAGAAAGAAACTGTCTGCATTTGCAATCAGTCTCCATTCCCCTCTGGAAGGCCCTAGGCCACCGCTGCTCTACTGCTGTCTCTCTATAACTCTGCTTGTTTTGGGCAATTCATGTAAATGGAATTATGCAATATGTGTGTGTATCTGCCATCTCTCACATGCATAGTGTTTTAGAGTCATCTCTGCATGGATCAGCATTCATTTCTGTGTTTGCCTCCTTCCCTTAGTGCTAGGGATTGTACCTAGGCCCTGTGTACACTGAGCATGTGCCCTGCCACAGAGCTGCACTCTCAGCTGTTCACTCATTCCTTTTTAAATCCATGTACCTAATGCATCTCAGTTAATTTTTTCCCCTTTCTCTGCCAGCCCTTCAGTTAATAATCATGTATGGTGTGAGGTAGGAATCTAGTTTCATTTGAGGGGAGAACTGTCCAGTTATCATAGTACAATTTATTAAAACACTATGCTTTCTCCATTGAAGTCTTCATATTGTAGAAAAATCAATTGGCCACAGGTATGGGATTTATTTCTCATTTCTCTGACTTGTTAATTTTCCTTATGTGTCAGAATACTTTTTTTTTTTTTTCCTCATTGAATTTATTGGTACTTTTTAGGTATACAGTACAGTTATGTTCCTCATTGGGATCTCGTACCTTTACATGACAGGTCTTGGTTCTCGTTTTTTCCCCATACCCCTGCCCTCCCTTCACCCCCTCCTCCCTTCCCTATTTACAAAAACTTTCTTTCCATTTTTTCGTTTTCTCCTACTTTTGTTTTGTTTTTGGTACCGGGGATCAAACTCAGGCCCTTGCGCTTGCGAGGCAGGCAGCAGAACCACTGAACCAAATCCCCGGCCCTCGTTTTCTCATATTTTTTCTTTTCCCTTATTTCCTTTCCCCTACCCTTCCCACTTCCCCTTCACCTTTAGCGCTTTTCCTCCTATTTCACATTGTCAGTTATACCATTTGGATCTTATTTACACTTTTAGTTTTTCACACCAGAGGAACTATTTGGTATTTACACATGTGTGTCTTATTTATTTCACTTAAGAGTATGATCTCAATATGCATCCATTTTCCTATGAATGACTCTAATTTCTTATTCTTTATGGCTGAGTAGTATTCCATTTTATAGAAAATCTTTATCCAGTCTCCAACTGATGGGCCATGGGGCTGTTTCCAAGTTTTAGCTATTACAAACTGTGCCGTTATAGAATACTTTTTTGATTAGAGTAGATTTATATTAAATTTTGAAGGTGGCAAGTATAAGTTCTTCCTTTTTTTTTTTTTTCAAAGTTGATTCTTACCTCCCTTGGGTTCCCGTATTCATTTTTAGATCACTTTGTCACTGGGATTTGAGAGAGACTTTAAATCTTTAGGTCGATTTGAAGAGAGCCCTTATATTTTGTATTCCTCAGTGTAGATACTGCCTAAGAGGTAACCATCTATATAAAATACAGAGCTTTATAAAATAGACAAAATTCTTCATTAAAGAATTTCCCTAGATCCTTGGGAGTTTTGTTTTACCTTGTTTTTTTCTAACAAGATATACTTTCAAAGCATTTGCTAACGTTTATGTATGAAGGAAATACAAATAATTTCTTTTAAAATGTGGATGAGGATTATAAAAATAAACATCTTAGATTTTTATGATGTTTTAGATTCCATCAGTCCCTACAGTAAGACATGAGCAGCTACTTGGTAGCATGTGTGGTTTTCTTCTTTTTTAACTGACAAGTAAAGACTATATATTTATATGGTACATGTGATATTAGTAGAGTGGTGCTTTGAGCTATTTAACACACATTTTATCTCCCATCCTTTTTTGTGGTAAGTTGTTCCATCTGGTTGCAGCCCTGTCTTCTGTGCTTCAGAAGCCCTGGAGGCGACCCATGCAGCACAGCAGACCAGTGAAACCAGAGTCTCTAGGAGCAGAACTCAGATGCCAGAAGTACTTAAAAGTGGAATCACATGCATCCAGCATCCAGAACCACTGCCACAGACAGTTGAAAATGGGTGGGATTGGGCTGTAGAAAACTTAGTTATCCTGAAACAGCAGTTCAGGCCGTGCCCCCAAATGGTATCTCCATTTTAGTGATTGATTGCTGAGGAGACTCAGATCAGGCTTGCACATGTGAGAACGTGCTCTGCCTGGTCTGCTCCAGGCCCCTGCATGCCAGTTGCGCTGGAATATCATCGCTGTGAGGAGTACTGTGGAACCAGCAGGACGTGGTGATTTGCATGTGCCTTTACCTGTGCACCAGTGAGAAAGATGATCTCATCACCAGAATTGTACAGTTTGGTGTTAAGAAGACCAGTGATGCATACTGCCATCTGGATTGGCATTTGTTGGGGAGGGGTCTCCTGCTAAAAACAAGTATATAAGCCACACGTGTGTTAGAAGAAACACTAGCTTCGGAGTGGGGAACAAGTTCTGTTGTGAGTCTGCTGTGTGACTTCAAACCAGCATTTAAGCCATACTTTATAATCGAAGCTTTGGACTGGAGATGATCGCCGAATTATCCAATAAGCTGGACCACCTGCTGTGTTAAGGCGAGGATGCGGGGATGCACAGGCATAGGCCATGCCCTTGATGTGCTCACAGACAGCAGATGTACATGCGGGCTGTGTGAGGGTGGCCTTGGGAAGTGTCAGGAATTACGGGGACATCGCGTGCATCATTGGGCTTCAGTATTGTGACAGATGCTGTCATTGCCTGCTCAGCAGCCCTTTACCCAGGCTTGCTTTTCCCAGCCGCCTTTACAGCTGAACCATGGCCTGGTGGCCCAGTACCTACCCTCCCTCCCTGCTTTTTATTTTTTCCTTTTTTAATACCAGGAATTGAACTCAGGACCTTGTGCTTGCAAGGCAGGTGCTGCACCACTGAGCTAAATCTCCTGCCCTTCTTCTTCCCTTATTTTGTAGAGATGTAGTTCTTGGTGCTCCAAGGGTCATCCTTAATTGTGCAGGCCTGAGAACAAAGGACTCTATGCTCAGCAGGGTCAGAAAATGGAAAGTGCCTGGATCCCTGATCTTGTCATCAAGCACCAACCCTAGACCTTCCTATGTACTCACTGAGGTGCTAAAAGTCCCCATTGTTGGAGCCTTGCTGCTCACAAGAGTGTTCTGTGGGGCAGAGTGTGAGCATGAGCTGAGAGGCTGACAGGAACGCAGGACCACAGACCCCACCCTATACCCCTAGCATCCAAACCTATATGCACACCAGTGCCTGGCAAGCACCAGCTTAGCACTTTTATTTGGGTGCTCTGTAGTGGGTAGCAAAAATGTCCTCACTGGCACAGATACCTTGTGGATTGACTGAGGAACTCTTTACAGTAAGAAAATGCTTGAGCAGGACTGATTCAGATGCCAGACACCTGCTATTCTCACTGTCACAGACAAAACAAATGGAATAAGCCACATCTACTGTGTCTGCGATACTGATTGGCACAGGCTGAGCCAGCTGTGCCTGAGGATGGGCAGTGTGCCGGGTGTGACTGGGAAGCTGCATTTTAAAGTGATGTAAGTAGGTATGTGTGGCTGGCTGTGCTGTACTCTTCAGTGCAGGCCTAGAGACAGTGAGACTACAGGAATCCCCAGCTCTTCCCCTGCACTTCATTTGGTGCCAGGAATGGTTCACCAAGAACAGTGACAGAGGAAGGGAGCTGAGGGAAAATCCCTGAGGCGAGGCTGTGGTGGGGGTGGAGGAGCTGAGGCAAGGACAGCAGAGCTGGACACATTCCTTCCAGCCATTACCCTGTGCAAAGAAAGGTAGAAGCACGCACTCTCCAGTTACAGAAAAGGGCGGAAGACAGAGTGGCTTTCCAGCTACCCGGTCAATGGCAGGCAGGCTGTATGTGGGAAGAGTTTCTCAGTTCACTGACAAGCAGGAGTCAGCCACTACAGGATCTTGACAGGGTCCTGGTCCCTGGCCATGTTAACAAGACCTTCTGATCCCATCCTTGGGTGGGGGCTGAGGCCAGTGAGGAACCCGGTCCCCCTGGGTAAGTTGGGCACTCCAGTTCAGCTCTGGCCTGAGGAACACACTTCTTTCTGGTAGTAGACATTGCCTTCAGTATATCTGTTACACTTTTATATAAACCACTCAGCCTGCAGTCAAAAATCTCAGGACAAATGAAGACAAAGGGGATAGGGATTTTTCTCAGTGCAGAACACTTGCCTAACATGCACAGGGCCCTAGGTTCAAACCTCCAGACACTCCAGCAAAAAAGTTGGGGGGGTATGTGATCCACAGAAACAAAGTCAGAGGATCCAGAGGTGCCGTATTGGTGTCATCTGTCAGAGACTCTTAAGTAACTCTGGTATGAGACTCAGTGGAAGAGAGTATAGAGGAGCAACACATTCAGCTCGGATCATTGGAAGAAATATAGCCTCTTAAATAAATGAACAAATAGATGCTCCTACAAGTACAAATGGTGAATGCATACATGAAAAAACATTCAACATCTCTGGCCAATAGAGAAATGCAAATTAGAGTAATATATTCTTACCCATCATCAAGAAATCAAATGATAACAAATGCTGATGAGGCTTCTGGGAAAAAGGAGCCCCTCTACATTGTTGGTGGGAATATAAACTAGTACAACCACTGTGGAAGTCAGTGTGGAGATGCTTCAAAAAACTAGAACTAGGAATCCCATTTGACCCAGCTATTCCCCTTCTATGTATCTTTCCAAAATAACCAGAGATATTGTATTACAGTGATCCATGCGTGCCTGTGCTTATAACTGCACAATTTATAATAGCAAAGCTTGGGAGCAGCCTGTGTGTCCATCAGCAGATGAGCGGATAAAGAAAATGTGGTATTTATACACAATGGAGCACTATTCTGCCATAAAGAAAGATAAGCCTGGGTCATGTGTAGGAAAACGGATGCACCTTGAGACCATAATGTTAAATGGAATATACCAGACGTACAGTCTTACATATCGTGTGTGTTTTATATTTGGGAAACCCAAATATAAAAGATAATAGGAAGTAGGGAGAGAGATCGTTCTCAAGGGGGAAAGAGGTCAAGAGATGGGGGATGAAGGCACTGCTGTGCTGTATGCACACCAGCTTCCGCGGGGCGCGTGAACACGTACTGCACATGGACTCAGTGATCTGGAAAAAATTTCCATCGAGGAAAAGCATTACAAACCAAAACGAGGACCTGAAGGCAGATTTGAGAGCCAGAGAAGGTTGACAGTGACCCTGGGGCTGGGCTGGAGAAGCTTGAGAATAGTGGGGCTGTGGACTGAGACAGAACACACGAGAAACGGGAGCTCAGAGAGGATGAGGGTGGCAGGCAGATCCAGGAGGGAGGGCAAGACGGGGCCAGCGATCGGGCAGGATTTTGTGCAAGGAGACTTTGGACTTGCAGAAGGGGTTAATCAGGGCCAAGGGAAAAATGAGCACATGGAAAGCACTCTAGATACAGGTCAGGGACCTGATTAGGTAGAGAGAGGAGATTCAGAACGGCCAGTGAGCAGTGTTTGCAGTACTCCAACTGTGGGAATTGGCGTGATGGTAATGGAGGTGGAAGGAAGGGCTTGCGTTTTTGTTTTTCTGGCAGCATTGATCCCAAGACCTCTGCATTGAGCTACATTCCTGACACTTTTTATTTGCTTTATACTTTGAGACAGGATCTTGTTAAATTGTGCTGGCTCAAATTTGGAATTCTCCTGCCTCAGCCTCACAGAGTATTGGGATTACAGACATGCATCACCTGCATGGGTTCAGCTGTTAGATCAGCCAGGGCTGCAGTTACACTGATACTGTCCCTTCACATTTTCAGTCTTGTATAATATGTGCTGATAAACAACTGATTTTCACATAGTAAAAAAACTCAGTTTCCGTGGTGACTACTTTTGTTAGGGTTGACCTTGTAAGCTTAGAGGAATGACGACATTTTAGAATTCCATGCAGGACATAGTAAAATGTCTTCCCATTTGAAACTGGAGTGTCTGGAATCAGAATCGCCTCTACCATCCCTCAAGTGGCAGTTTGTCGCTTAAAAATAAACTGAATTTAAAGTATCTTTCAAGTCTTATAGATTTTGTACTTATTCATTTGTCAATTTGGCATTTATAAAGTAACTCAGAATTACTCCCAAAGAGCCTAGTTTTATTTTCACAGGTGGGAAAGTTCCTGTTACCTTTTTTTTCCTTTCTGGCTTAACACAGCTGCAGCTGCCCTGGCCACTTCCTGGGTCCTCCATTACCTGAGACATTACCTGGGCCTCGCCTGCACACACTTCAGTAGTGTAAGATGATGCAGCTGGTCTCCATGCTAGGAGAATTCACAGAGTGTTCTGTTTTACAGGGAAAATATTTGTCCCCAAGCAGAAACCTGTGCAGACCTTTACAGAAGAAAATATCTCTCTTGACCCAGAGTTAGAAGAGGCTTTGACGAGCGCTTCGGACACAGAGCTGTGTGACCTCGCAGGTGAGTGGCCTGGCAGGTGGGGACGGCACAGCAGGGCGCCATGGGCAGCAGCCAGTGTGATTTCCCACCATGCCGTTCTTACACTCAGAGCCGACTCTGTCTGACCGTTTTTGCATGTCTCCACACTGAGTCTTTATAGAGCTCAGTGCTGGTGTCCTGTTAGAGCACAGGAGGTCACAGGGCCAGCTGCTCTGTCTGCCCTGGAGACCAGGGCTGGGTCACTGGGAGGAGGGGATGGTCAGCCCTGAGTGCTCCCCTAGGCCAGCGTCTCTCCACCTGCCTGAGACCCCCATTCCCCTCAGCATGGCACGAGGGGAGCCCCTCGTACCACACAACCCCACAGTGAGAGCGTCTAAAGGCAGCAGCTTGCACCATCGGGACAGCCCAAGGGAGAGCCAAGGTGTGGCTCACCCCTGCGGGACTGTGCTCTGGTGGTCGTCACCGGAGTGGCCAGGAGTCACTGGTTCCTGCCTCATTTGTAGAAAAGACCATCAGGAACAAAAGCTGCCATTTCCCTTTTACGTGTCGTTTGTATGGGATGCTACCTTATTCTTAAGTAGAATTTCCTGATAATCTGAGTATGCTAGGGTCAGGCTGGCTCCAGCTGTGGACCTAAACTAAAAAATATGGGGAAATCCAAGTTCAGAAATGTGGGAGAAGATAATGGGTTTTAAAGAGGAGATAGTAAGGAAATTTCAATCATTTATCTCCCTTTTTTTGTTTGTTTCTCTTATGACTAAAAATCTGTAGTTAAGGTATAATGGATGTTGGGAAATGGGAAGAAAGTGTTCAAATGGGGAAGAGGAACAAGGGCAGGGTGGGAGAAGGAAAGGAAGGAGCAAAAAAAGTGAAAATAGAAGGAAAAATGGGAACAAAGCTTTTGTACATAGGGAGGGTAGGAAGCTTGTGGGGAGGAACGAGATAAAACAAAACTTAATTTAAAAAATAAACAAAAATCTATTTAATTTAGTCATAAGCCAGGCAGAGTGACGCACATCTGTGGTCTCCACTATTCAAGAGACAGAGGCAGGATCTCTTGGGCCTGGAAGCTTAAGTTCAGCCTGGGCAACACAGCAAGATCTGTCTCTAAAACAGGAAAAAGAAGCTCTAAACAAGTGGAAATAAAAACTTTCTTCTTCTATCTTCACAGCTATCCTCGGAATGCACAACTTGATAACAAATACGCAGTTCTGTAACATTGTGGGAAGTAGTAATGGTATTGACCAAGAACATTTTTCGAGTGAGTACTAAAGCTACTCTGAATTCCGGTCTTCTAGTAGATACATTTTATTTCTCCCTGTAAAGTATGGTATTTACATACCCAGTGTTATACATGTGTGCTTAAAACTTGAAATTCCAGCTTGATGGTATTGGCACAGAACACCACTGAAAATAGAATATTAAATATTTTATGTTTAATATGTCAGCACTTGTTTATAGGAACCACTCTCGCCTCACTAAATAGTATCAGTGGTGTAAAAACTAGTGATACTTCATTAGTATTTTATTATCAGTGCTACTGATTTCTAAGAAATCCACAGCAGTTCTAACAAACTTTTATAAAGTCAGATTCAGGAGAAGCCACTAAACCTGTCAGTCTGATGCAGGGTATTAAATTGCTTAAAACAAAGCTTTTTAAAAAATTTATTTGTAGAAGGGGCGAGGATTTAGCTCAGTAGTGTTGCTGCCTGCCTCATAAGCACAAGGACCCAAGTTCAATCCCCGGTACCAAAAAAAAAAAAAAATTATTTGTAGAGCCATGTATGGTGGCACATGCCTGTAATTCCAGTTGCTTGGGAGACTGAGGCAAGAGGATAGAAATTCAAGGCCAGCCTGGGCAACTTAGCAAGATCCTGTCTCAGAATGAAACATAATAAAATATCTGGGGCTATAGCCCGTGATAGAACACTTGCCCACTATGTACAAGGCCCTGGCTTGGATTCCAGGCAACACAGAAACAGTTAATTCAAGGGCCCGGGATTTATTTAGCTCAGTGGTCCTGCTGCCTGCCTAGCAAGTGCAAAGCCCTGAGTTTGATCCCCGGTACCCAAAAAAACAGAGTTAATTCATCATCTGAAGCCTAGCCTATATCCAAATTTCCCTTATTCTCAAAAAAATGTCATTTCACACTTGGTCAAATCTGGGCCTAAATAAAGGTTACACATTACATATGGTGCTTTTTTCAGTCTTATTTCTGAATAGTTCTCTCCACCTTTTGCCCCTTTTTTTGTGCCACTTACTTGTTGAAGAAACTGGGTTATTTGTTAAGTTAAAAACTTCCACATTTTAGATTTGGCTGATTGCAACCTTTTAGTGTTATTTCTACCTCCTATGTTTCTCCTATCTTTCACCCTGTATTAAAATAAAGTAAAAATGGATATAAGACCAGAAACTTTATTACGTCACTGGAATAAAGCATAGAGAAACACTTGAAGCCACAGCACAGGCAGAGACTTCTTGAATAGGCCCCGTTGATATAAGAGATAGTATTAGGAATCAACAAATGCATCAGATTGAAAGCTTTCTTTCACACAGCAAAGGAAATAGTTAACAGGGAAGAGACAGCTATAACAGTGGGAGGGAAACTTTGCTGGCTACTCTTGTGATAAAGGAGTCATATCTAAAATATATAAAGAGCTCAGAAATTCTTTAATTTCCCCAAAACTAATGGCTCAATCAACAAATGAGCAAATGAACTGACACTTCTTTAACAAAGTAAAATACAAATGGTCATTAAGTATATAAAAGAAATGTCCAACACCTTTTAAAAAGTTTTGATTCTTTTGGGAACATACTCAGGAGAGGTGTCACTGGGTCAAGTGGAATTTTCTGCTTTTAGTTTTTTGAGGAGTCGCCATGCTGATTGAAAACATCACGCTGCAGGACTGGAGATGTAGCTCAGTGGCACCATGCCCATCTCGCAAGCACAAGGTCCTGAGTTCATTCCCCAGTACTGGGGGAAAAACAGCATCACACTGCAGTGATATGTGCATGCCCATCTTTATAGCGGCACAATTCACAATAGCTATGCTTTGGAAATAGATGAGTGGATAAAGGAAGGGGATTATTTACACCCTGCGGAATATTATCTAGCCATAGAGTGAAATCATGTCATCTGCAGGAAGATGGATAGAACTGGAGACATCATGTTAAGTGACATAAGCCTGTCTCAAATTATGCTGGTATGGTGGGGTGCGCCTATAATCCCAGCCCTGGGGAGGCTGAAGTAGGAGAATCGTAAGTTTGAGGCCAGCCTGGGCCACACAGTTGAGACCCTGTCTCAGAAAAAAAAGAATAGTTGAGTATTGCATTTTCTCTTACATAAACAATTTAGAAATGAGTGAGGGAAATGCATGAATAAATAAGAGATGGCAGGAAACTAGAAGGCAATTTTTAGTGATGAGGGGGAGAGAAAAGGGGGTAAATAGAGATGAAAATAACCTAAATATGTTCTGCATACGTGTACCAGAATGCATCCCATTACTCTGAATTGCAAATGTGCATTAATGAAAAAGTGGCCCTTCCTCCAAGATGACTGAATCAGGAGGAAGCTTAGCCCATCGGGTCCTCGTCCAGGGAGCGGGATTGGTGTGGAGGCCGAACGGCCCTGAGAACCCGCTCCCTGTGACCTCAGCATCCCGTTGAAGGGCCGTTGCTCCTATGGGCATGGTGCCTTGCACGCCTCCTGTGGAGTAGGGAAGAAACCTGCTGGTCTTGTGCAGATTAGGGCCTTCTCATCCGGGAGGAGGGAGTGTCCATTGCTTCCATGTGCTGTCTGGAGGACGGCCTGGCCGAGCAGGCACAGGGCAGGCCTGCTCTGTGTTCTGGGGAGGCTGATTGGATGGGGATCTTCAGGAGCTGTGGAGAAGGAGCCTGAAGTCAGTTCTGCTGAGTCCAGACTGTGAGGGAGAGTGGGTGAGGCATGTCACGTCAGTGCCTGTGTCCCGTCCCCGCGTCACCAGCCCAGTCCCCTCCTCCTTTTGTCACCACAGATGTGGTGAAAGGCGAGAAGATTGTCCCAGTGTTTGATGAACCACCAAATCCGACCAATGTTGAGGAGAGTTTGAAGAGAATTAGGGAGAACGACGCCCGCCTCGTGGAGGTCAATCTGAACAATATAAAGGTAGGTTGTCATGCTGTCACACGATGGTAAGGTGGGCTGCAGTCGCTCTGAATCAGCTGGGCCAGGATGACAGCTGGCCAGTTCCTTCTGCTTTCTCACTCAACTGTATGCTGCCATCGGCTCCTCGGATCTTAGAAATCACAGTGTTATACAATAGTACTTTCTGACTTCCTTTTTAAAGACTGTATCATAAAAATGTACGCCCTACAGGCTGTCAGTAAATCTGATATTTAAGAACTTGGGTTTGGTTTTGTTTTTAAAATGAGCTTTCCTAAGGTATTATTTACATATAGTGAAATCCCCCTGTAAGTGTGCAGCTCTGGGAGTTGTGACAAGTGTGAGCAATTGTGCAGCCTCCACCAGTCAGAAGTGAAGCGTGTCTGTCACCAGATGGTGCTCACCCTGCTCCTCACCCTCTGACACCTATGGATGTGTTTTCCTTCCCCTTCCTGTGTAAATGGGGTTGGCAGGTGCAACTTCTGAGCCCAAGTCCTTGCTTGGCATACTGCCTTTGAGGCCCCTCTGTGGTGGGGGCATCTGCAGTGGGTCCCTGCATGGAGCGGTGGCTCCTTGTTTATCCTCTGTCAGGTGGCAGGCATGTGCATCGCTTCTAGGTTAGGCCCTGAACCACTTCACAGCTCCTGGGGCTGCCACTCAGGCTGGGTGGGTGTCTTTTCAACCAGCCAATTATTTTATTGAATAAATTTGATAAGAGTATTTATTTATTGTTATCTTCTAAAAATTAATGAAAAAATATGCAATTTCTGGTCATCCTGCGTTGACGTAATTGGACTGGTAGGCTGCTGGCGTGTGAAGCCACCTTGCACAATTAATACAGGTGCTTGTGTGAACGTGTGTTTCTATCTCTCGAGTTAATACTTGGAAGTGGGCTTGCTGAGATCTTCCTGGGCTTGAAACTGCCGCTCTTCCTTGGGTTGCATACATCTTGCCCATTGTACAGAACTTTCATTTCAAAGTCCTCAGTTTTTTATTTTTTTGGTATGAGGGATCGAACTCAGGACCTCGTGCTTGCAAGGTAGGCAGTGGAACCACAGAGCTAAATCCGTGGCCCTCAAAGTCCTCATTTTAGATCTTGATTTCTGAGCCCTGAACTGCAAGGAGGAGGAAGCACCTGATATTAGATGAAGCCACAGAAGAGACCCTGTGCCCATTAGTAGGCAGGGAAAGCTGGTGTTCTTGCTTCAGTGTCTTGTCCCTTTGTCTCTGGAAAAGATTAAGGGTGTGAAAGCTGCCAGGCTACCCAGGGACCAGAGCCTCTATTCCCAGCCAGGGAGTCAGGGCTTCTTTTTTCCCTCAGGAGTGGCAGGTTGAGCTGATGCCTTATGAGTTGCGTGCCCGAGGAAGGCAGTCCTTGCCCCAGGTTCCGTCAGCAGAAATGTGGGTCCACTGTACATACTAGGTGGGTTTCAGTACATACAGTAATACAGGCAGGGGAGCAAGAGACAGTGGGGTGCGTGCTCTACCCCGCCCCAGCAGCTTGTGCAGCGCATCATGCGGGAAAGCCAGGCAGCTGAGAGGACGCTGTGTTAGTCCTACTCATCGACCGGTGTCTGTTGATATAATTTCCGACATTTTAAGGCAGAATGCAAGCACAAATGTGTTTGGTTAATAGATTGAGTGTCTTGCGGACTAAAGTATAATAATGTTTCCCATTGTTATCTTTCAAGAACATCCCAATTCCAACCCTAAAGGACTTTGCGAAGGCTTTGGAAAGCAACACACATGTGAAGCACTTCAGCCTTGCAGCCACCCGGAGCAATGATCCTGTTGCTGTGGTGAGTGCCCTGCTGTTGGTGGGGTCGGAACCATGCATCCTGCCTGGGCGTTGTGCAGTGGGTTAGACTGTGACTTCACACAGAGGGTCCGCCTTTTTCACTTCCCTTTTATTGTTACTTTTCCCTGAATTTCTTTCCTATGAATTTTAAAACACATAAATGGGGCTGGGTGTGGTGGCATATGCCTTGTCATCCCAGCACTCGGGAGGCTGAGGCAGAGAATCACCAAGAGTTCAAGGCCAGCCTAAACTGCATAGTGAGACCTTGTCTCAAAACAAAACAAAACCCCAAACCTTATATGGGGCTGGGTGGCTTCATGGTACCATGTGTGAGACCCTAGGTTCAGTCCCCCAAACTACAAAACACAACTATAAATGCAATCATGTGATCGATACATGCCGTTCTGTGACAGCGTCTCGTGTGTCCTGGAGATCTTTCCGTGTCTCTACTATTTTGCTATCTGCAGGGGTTTCCTCTTGGATCTTTAGTCCTGGGTTTTTCTTGTCTGGGGCGATGATCCCTTGGTAGCCCAGCCTGCCTTTGCCCCGGCTCCATCTGTGGTGTGTGCACACCCATCGAGTCTGTGAGGCCCCCGAGCGTGGTGTGAACATTCTTGCTTGGTGTGGAGGACTCCACTTCTTTGGTTCCCTAGCCTCTGGACACTGGGACGGCCCAGGGCCTGGCCTCCCCTGTGTTGCTGTGTATTGTCCACCCGAGTGATTGCCCCAGTCCGGCCACCAGGCCTCTCGTCACAGTCCTAGCTTGCAGCTTCCCACTCCCCAGTGAAATGCACACCCCAGAGCTGCCGCCGACTTCCCTCTCCCAGCCGGAAACACACACTCTGCCCTGTCTCAGCATTCTGGAGCCTGGCACTTCTCACCTCTTCCAACTGCTGCCCTGACACAGTCACCACAGTCCCTAGAGCCCCAGTAACTGTGGCGGCCTCTGTCCTCACCCACTCCGCCTGCCCCACAGGCAGGAGCAGCAGCTAGAGTGCCCTGATCATTGTCCGGCCTGTGCACTGGGCGCTGTCCAGCTGCTTCCCTTCCTGCTGAGAGTAAATTGGACTCGGAGCAGAGCACAGGCCTGTCCAGCTTCCGTCCCTCTGGTCCTGCTCTCACTGTGTTGTCAGTGCTGCCTTGTTGGGCGCGGTACCTGCACTCCTGTCCTGTCTGTCCAAGGCACCACAGCTTCATGTTGGGCCTGGTATTTGAGGTTCGGCTCAAATGAGGCCTTTCAGAACTAGCCTGTGTGGAACAGGAGCCCTGGGACCCCACTCCCGTCCCCCAACGGTGAGGGACCCTGACATGGCCCGGAAGGAGGGGTACTTGTGGCCTCAGATCTCCACCTCACCATGGCCTGGCCTATTACTGTGAAGGAGAGGAGGGAGGGGACAGGAAGCCCTGTGCTTGTCTTCCTTCCCTGTTTTGTCCAGGGCTCTGTGCTGCCCTCTACATGAGGTTTGGAGAAGCCGCTCGTTGCTAGGAGAAAAAATTCTCACCTCTATTTTCTTTTACCTCTTTTTTTCTTTATTTTGCTTTTTTGAGACAGGTTCTATGTAGCTTAGCCTAGTTTTGAACTCTTGGCACTCCTCCTGTCTCGGCCTCCTGGGTAACAATTCTGAATTTAAAGATCCGGTGCAGCCAACCCCCACCTGGCGCTCCTGCCTCCCCTGCGTTGCCCTCCTTGTTCTCACCACTGACACTGTTGCGCTTGTCTACTTGGACAGAGCACAGAGCCTCCCAACAGGGACGTTAGGTCTCCTGTTAGATCTTCAGCTTGGGGCTGTCACACAGGCCATCAGCCATCCTTGGGCAGACATGCATATGGGTGGGTACAGAGTTTGTCACCTGGGCAAACTGGTCACCCTTCAGGGAAGCGACAGTGGTGTTGGCCCCAGCTTTCTCTAGGTCCTGCTCTCCCACTCCGCCTTGTCCTGCACTTGCTTTCAGCTTGCTCTGCCATCTTTTCCGGGTCTCACCTCGGTCATGGCCCCTCCACAGGCGTCATACCAGCTCACACTCAGTACCCCACCCTGCTCCTCACTGTGCTGCTGCACAGTGGGCAGAACAGCCTGGCACTGACCCGTCCCCAGGAGAGAGAGGGAAGCAGGTAAGGATGCCATCCCCGAGGAGCTGCGGGTGCCATCAAGGCGTGCCCTTCCCCTCACCTGCACAGTGACCACTGCCCTTGGAGACAGAGCTGGGGACACAGGAGGGTGAAGCTGGGGCCGGGTGCATGAGGCTGAGGCGATAGATGCTGGCCCTAGAGACTGGCACAGCCAGGCAGAGTGAAGAGGCATGTGGCGCTTCTGATTAATGTTGTGTTTGTGTAGGGCACAAGCAGTGTGTGATACAGACTCTCATGTCCAGCATTTCTTCCACTCCTAGGCTTTTGCAGACATGCTGAAAGTGAACAGGACTCTGAAGAGCTTAAACGTGGAGTCCAACTTCATGACAGGTGCGGGGGTCCTGGCCCTGATCGATGCCCTGAGAGACAACGAGACCCTGGTGGAGCTCAAGGTGGACAATCAGGTCAGTGGGCTGAGCGGCCCCATGTGTCCCTGTGGCATGTGACAGCGTCCACGGCCACCCCTCCTGTGATTCCAAGAGCATCAGTGGCGTGGACTGGGACAGGTCCTCTGCAGTGCAGGTCCCATCATGGCTCCTTGTATCCGTCACCTGTGACCGCTCTGGTGCCCGGGTTGTGGGGGTGGGGAGAAGGACAGCGCTGCCTCCCATCACGGGTTCCTTGTTTGTTTGCCTGAGAAGTAACTCCGGGTGTGTGAAACACGGGCATGCATCTCCTGGCCCTTCCGAGTGAGTTTTGTTGGCTCTGAAGGTGGAAAAGAGAGTCACATCTGGAGATTCGCCAGGGTGCGGCTTCGTCCATGCTGTGGGCTTTTAAACTGATGAAGTGTTGATACAGCACTCTCCTCACTGAGGGGTCACTGCATGGGCCCTCGCCCCACTGGCCATGCTGACCCATCCCCCAGATTTGCCTGTCTGGTCTCCGCATCAGCAGGTCACACATCACCTGCTTCTGTCAGCCACTTTGCCTGAGGGCAGTGGTGTGAGCCAAGTCACCCATGTAGCTGCGCATCAGATAAAAAGTTGCTTTTTTGAAACTAAAACCTTAGTATTCAGCTTTCGTTGCAGTGTTAGCGCTTTGCAATAAATAAGTGGGTTTTGGATTGGTTGCAGTTTAAAAAGTTTGCCATCACTGCCCTAGTGGATCTGTGGGGGTGCTGTAGCGGTGCTCAGTTCCTGTGCATGGCTTTACAATATTGTTACATGTGGAGTGTTTCCACCTTTTGGCTATTAAAAACAATGGTATGAGCCAAGCATGGTAGCACACACTTGTAATCCTAGCACTCAGGAGTCTGAAGCAGGAGGATTGCTGTGAGTTAGAGGACAGTCTTGGCTACACAGTGAGTTAGAGGCCAGCCTGGACTCCCTAGCAAGACCCTCTCTCAGAAAAACCAGCCAGCCCATCACTAAAAATAGTAGTGATATAGATATTCACATGCTAGTTCTTGTGTGAACATACATTCTGTTTCATAGGGGTATGTAGAATGCTGGCCAGTGCGGTTGGTCTCTTAGGTTTAACTTTTTCAGCAATTCCCAGATGGTTTTCCATAGCCACTGCACTGTTTTATATGCCTGCCAATCCCAACAGCCACACATTCTTGGCAGCGTGTGGTATGTTCTTCACGTTCTTTGAGACAGGGTCTCACTGTGGTACCTGGAATGGTCCCAGCCCCTAGGCTCAAGCAGTCTTCTTGCTTCAGTCTCCTGAGTCGTCGTACAGCACCCCGCGGGTGCTCGTCCTTCCTTTTCACTGTACTCATCCCAGGGATATGAGCTGGAGTCTCACAGGTCAACACTTCTTTGGTGTCTGTATGGTATATACTAAGCTTTTTAAATCTTGTTTCTTATGTATGTTTTGGAATTGGGAAGATTTAAAGACCAACAGAATTAGCCTAGGCCTTCATGTCTTAGTCCTGATACTGATGTACTTTATTTATATATAAATACATACTTATATATATTTGGTGTACTTTATTTATACTGTTTTTCATTTCTTATTCTTCCAGAGGCAGCAGCTGGGAACAGCTGTAGAATTAGAAATGGCCAAGATGCTTGAGGAAAACACAAATATCCTGAAATTTGGCTATCAGTTTACACAGCAGGGACCCCGGACCAGGGCAGCGAACGCTATAACAAAGAACAACGACTTAGGTGAGGCCTTTCAGATTGAGTTTCTGGGTCGTGCTCTTAAGCTAATGTATCGGGTTTTGTTGTTGCTGTTGTTGTTATTTTCCATTACGTTTATTGGTACATTTAAAGCAAACAATGCAGTTACATTTATCTTTGTGATCTTGTACCTTTACATGATGTATCTTGGTACTTGTTTTTTCTCCATACCCTTGCCCTCCCTTCACCCCCTTCACCCTTCCCTATTTACAAAGACTTTGTTTCCATTTTTTTCACATTTTTTTTCTTTGCCCTTTAGTCATTTTCTTCCTATTTCACAGTCCCAGTTATACCATTTGAACCTTACTTACACTTTTAGTTTTTCACGCCAGAGAAACTATTCAGTATTTAAACAAGTGTGTCCTATTTATTTCACTTAAGAATATAGCCTCAAAGTACATCCATTTCCCTGTAAGTGTTTCTAGTTACTCATTCTTTTTTTTTTTTTTTTTTTTTTTTTTTTTTTTTTTTGGTACCAGGGATTGAACTCGGGTCCTTGCCCTTGGAAGGCAAGCCACTGAACTAAATCCCTGGCAAGTTTTTCATTCTTTATGGCTGAGTAGTACTCCAGTTTTTAGAAAAACCACATCTTCTTTATCTCGTCTCCAGTTGGTGGGCATTTGGGTTGTTTCCAAGTTTTGGCTATTACAAACTATGCCACTATAAACATGAGTGCATATATATCACTGTGGTATGATTCTTTTAATTCTTTTGGAAAGATATCCAGCAGAGGGATAGCTGGGTCAAATAGAACCTCTACTCCTAGTTCTTTGAGGTACCTCCATATTGATTTCCACAGTGGTTGCACCAGTCTGCACTCCCACCAACAATGGAAGGGTTCCTTTTCCCCCACAGCCTCACCAGCATTTGCTATTGGTTGATTTCTTGCTAGAAGCATTCTTTCTGGGGTAGAGTGGAATCTCAGTGTTGTTTTCATCTGCATCTCTCAAGTGACTAGTGATGTTGAACATTTTTTCTTATATTTATTTGCTGCTTTTATTTCTTTGTCTGAGAAATATCCATTTCAGATGCCCATTTTTGAATCAGGTCTTTGTATTGGGGGGGTCTGTTTTTTTTAGTTCTTTATATATTCTAGATAGTAGTCCTTTGTCTGAGGAGTAGCTGATAAAATTTTTTTCCCACATTGTAGGTTGTCTCTTAGCACTATTGGTGATTTCTCTTGCATTGCAAAAACTTTTTAATACAATGAGATCCCACTTGTTTATTCTTTGTGCATGTTCTTGTGCTGCTGAGGATTTGTTCATAAAGTCTTCTCCCATGCCAATGTCTTCACGAGTTCTGCCTAATTTACTTTCCAGTAAGTTTAGTGTTTCTGTTTTGACATTTAGATCTTTAATCCACTTGGATTTTAGTTTAGTGCATGGTGAAAGATAGGGATCTAGTTTTAATCTTTGGCAAGTTGAAAGCCAGTTTTTCCAACACCATTTATTAAAACGGCTCCCTTTCCTCCAGTGAGGATGGTTGTTTCCTTTGTCAAGAATGAGGTAGCTGAGTGTGTCTGGTGTTGTTTCTGCATCTTCTAATCTATTCCAGTACCAAGCTTTTTTTATCACAGTGGCTTTTTAGTGTAGTTTCAAGTTGGGAATTGTGATACCCCCTGCCATGTATCTGTTGCCTAGAATGGCTTTTGCTATTTATTCTAGGTCTCTTCTGGTTCCAAATGAATTTTTGGGTTGTTTTCTCAAGTTCTGTGAAATATACTATTGGGATTTCTATCAGGATTGCATTGAATCTGTATAGAAGTTTTGGAAGTATGGCCATTTTCACTATGTTGATTCTTCCCAGGAGCAAAAGGTGCCTTTCCATTTTGTTATATCCTCTTCTAATTTTCAGTGTAGAGGTCTTATGTCTCCTTCATTAGATTGATTCTTCTATCTTTTTTTTTCAGAGTGCTGTAATTTTCAGTGTAGAGGTCTTATGTCTCCTTCATTAGATTGATTCCTAGATATTTCAGTTTTTTGGATGTTATTGTGAAAGGAATCGTTTCCCTAATTTCTCTCTCAGTGAGTCTGTTATTTGTGTATAATAAGGCTATGGATTTTTGAGTGTTAACTTTGTATCCTGCTACTCTACTGAATCTGTCAATTAAGTCTAGCAGTCTTTTGGCAGAGTTTTTTGGATCTTCTATGTAGAGTATCATATCATCAGCAAATAGTGACAGTTTAGCTTCTTCCTTTCCTATCTTTATTCCTTTTATTTCTTTCTCTTGTCTAATTGCTGTGGCTAATGTTTCTAGAACTATATTGAACAGGAGTGGTGACAATGGACATCCTTGTCTTGTTCCTGATTTTAGCGTGAAGGTTTTTAGTTTTTGACCATTTAGAATGATATTGGCTGTGGATTATCAGGTTGGGATAAAGACCATCTATTTCAATTTTCTGTAGGGTTTTTATCATGAATGGTGTTGAATTTTGTCAAATGCTTTTTCTGCATCTATTGAGATGATCATATGGTTTTTCTCCTTAATTCTGTTATATAGTGTATTACATTTATTGATTTACATTTTGTTGAACCATCCTTGCATCCCTGGGATAAATCCAACTTGGTCAGGGTGTATAATCTTCTTGATGATCTTCTGTATTCTGTTTGCCAGTATCTTACTGAGGATTTTTGCATCTATGTTCACTATGGAAATGGCCTGTAGTTCCCTTTTTTGGTTGGGTCTTTCCCTAATTTTGAAATCAAAGTAATACTTGCTTCCAGGAATGAATTTGGAAGTATTGCTTCCCTTTCAATTTCATTGAAGAGTTTAAAGAGTAGTGGCGATAGTTCTTCTCTAAATGTCTTGTAGAATTCAGCAGTGAAGCCATCAGGGCCTGGGCTTTTCTTTGTTGGTAATGTTTTAATTAAATTTTTAGTTTCACTGAATGTAATTGGAGTATTTAGACTTTTCATCTTCTTCGTTCAACGGAATCTGTCCATTTCTTCTGTACTTTTCGTTTTATTAGAGTATAGGTTTTCAAAGTAGGTATTGATGATCCTCTGGATTTCCGGTGGATCTGTTGTGACTTTACCTTTTTCATTCCTAACTGCGTGAATTTGAGCCTTCCCCCCACCCGTTTTCTTTTTTTTGGTACTGGGAATTGAACTCGGGTCCTTGGACTTGTAAGGCAGGCAGCAGAACCACTGAGCTAACTCCCCAGCCCCCTTTCCTTTTTTTGATAAGGTTGGCTAAGGATTTATCGATTTTATTTATTCTTTCGAAAAAACAACTCTGATTCATTGGTTGTTTTTTTGGTTTTTTTTTTTTTTTTTTTGTTTTTTTTTTTTTTTTTGGTTTTTGTATTGTACTCTTAGTCTCCATTGCATTAATTTCTGCTCTGATCTTGATAAATTCCTCCCTTGTATGAGCTTTTGGTTTGTCTTGCTCTTCTTTTTCTAGGAGCTTAAGGTTAAGCATTAGATTGTTTATTTCGGCTGGTTCTGTTTTCCTAGTGTGGGCATTTACTGCTGTGAATTTCCCGCATACAACTGCTTTCACTGTGTCCCATAGATTGCTGTATGTTGTATTGGCATTATCATTTAATTGTAGAAACTGTCTAATTTCTTCTTTAATTTCCTCCTTGACCCAGTGGTTGTTCAGTAGGGTGTTAATTTCCATGTGTTTGTTAAGTTCTTGCTGTTTCTTAGGCTCTTGATCTCCAGTTTAATTGCACTATGGTCTGATAATATACAGGGATAATTTCAATTCCTTTGCATTTACTTAAGCTTGTTCTATGAGCTAGCATGTGGTCTATTTTAGAGAATGACCCGTGTGCAGCTGAAAAGAATGTATATTCTGATTTTGTGGGATGGAACACTGTAGACATCTACTGAGTCCATTTGTTCTAAGACTTGGTTCAATTCTGTTATTTTGTTGTTGATTTTTTTTGTCTAGATAATCTGTCTATTTGAATCAGTGGAGTATTGAAGGTCCCCCACTACAATTGTTTTAGTGCTTATTTTGTTTTTCATATTCATTAATATTTGTTTTGTATAGTTGGGGCACTAGTATTTGGTGCATATATATTTATGATTGTTATTTCTTCCTCTTGTATTGTTCCCTCTACAAGGATGTAGTGTCCTTTTTTGTCTCTCCTAATTAGTTTTGGTTTGAAATCTATTCTGTCTGCAAATAAGATAGCTATTCCCACTTTTTCCTGGGCTCCTGTTTTCATGAAGAACTGTTTTCCATCCTTTTACTCTCAGTCTATGAATTTCTTTGTGGATTAAGTGGGTTTCTTGTATATAGCATATTGTTGGATTTTGCTTTTTAATCCATTCTGCCTGCCTGTTTCTTTTGATTGGTGAATTGAGGCCATTAACATTGGTGGTTATAACTGTTATGTATTGACTTTTCATTGTCATATTATTTTCCTGTTGTTCTTTTATTATTTTTATTTTTCCCTCTCTCCCTTTAATTTCTTGCTTGCCTGGTATATTTGCTTTGTTGGCCCTTATGGAGTTGTGGTCTTCATTTTTTTTTTCCAGGATATTGTTTAGAAGTGTTTAGAGTGCCCGTTTGGTGTTCATGAAATTTCTTAGGTGTTCTTTGTAGTGGAAGTATCTTATTTCCCCATGAATTTTGAAAGATAGTTTTGCAGGACACCTCAGTCTAGGTTGGAAGTTATTTTCTTTTAGGACTTGAAATACCTCACTCCAGGCTCTCCTTGACTTGAGGGTTTGTGTTGAAAAGTCTGCTGTTATTCTGATGGGCTTTCCTTTGCATGTGATTTGTTTCTTTTCTCTAACTGCTTGCAATATTTTGTTCTTCTGTTGGATTTCTGGGATTTTATTATATGTCTAGGTGTAGATTTTTTTTTATTATGGCTAATTGGAGTCCTATATGCCTCACTTATCTGTATGTCAAATTCTTCCCCTCTGGGAAGTTTTCTGTCATTAATTCTGCTAACAGTTTTTTTATGTCATTTGAACTGTATCCACTACGTAATGGATTCCTATCAGTCTTATATTATTCTTCTTTG